ATTAGGTGAATTGAAAAATACTATTTCTTTTGTTTATACAGTTCAAATTACTTGTAATCAAAAATAAATATAAAGTGAGCACTATACACTTTGTATTCTGTATTGTAATTGAAATCAATATATTTGAAAATGTAGAAAACATCCAAAAATATTTAAATAAATGGTATCCAGTTGTTGTTTAGCAGTACAGTTAATCGCGATTAATTTTTTAAATCGCTTGACTGCCCTAGTGGAAACCCAATCAATCACAGTCCCCTCCAACCTCAACCTTAATAAAACCTATAACAATGGGTTTTATACAGGTGTGCAATGTCACAAGCACAAACACAGCAAAAACCCCAGCCAGATAAACTCAAAACACGTAAAAAGAACTTGTGGTCTGTACCTAGGTTGGCATATAACATCATGCAAGGTTAAATTCGTTTTACTGAAAGGTGGCCCACAGCAGCTGCACAAATGAGACGTCATCTTCTGTCTGGCATCCAGATGGATTTGTAGGCAACTCCAGCAAGCCTTGAGCCTACCAAATGCTGCTGAACTTGAAATTGAATTCCTTTTTTCCAGGGCCACTGACATCGGGGTATGGTTTCATCAGCCAAAGCAGGAGTGGGTATGCAGGCCCCCAAAATAATAGTTGGCACAGATACCCCGTTCATAACATTTCCGGGGACTAAGGTCACTGCTTTCCCCTTCAGGTACAAGCCAGATCTCTTCAGCCTAATGTCACAAATGTTTCCTGTACTTTCCATGTTTGTGTTGAAGAACTTGCCTCTGTGGTCCACCAAGTCTTGCATAACAGTGGAATATTATCCTCTGCAGTCCTCATATTCATTTGCCCCTTCTGGTGGGTGAACTATGAGTACGAGTGCCATTGATGGTCCCAGCACAGAATGGGAACCCCATCCTCTGAAAACTAGCTATTATTTCAGGCATGTTCCTTATGATAACCACCAGAGGTAACAGACAGTGCTAATGGCCTCACAACCTCAACTACCAATAGTTAAGTTTCCAACTCCAAAGTGATTTGCTAGAGACCTGTAGCTGTCCGGGATAGTGTAGTGTAGTCTGGGCAATAGTAGGGCAATAGTGAGACACTTTTGTATCATTATGACTCCCTCAATTGAGTGTTCTGGTCCTGGAGGGTTGGTGCAAGCTCCTCACACAGCTCTATGAAGGTCTGTTTCCTCATGCAGAAGACCTGGAGCCACTGCTGCATTGTCCCAAGTCTGCAAAACGATGTGATCCAGCCACACCATGCGAGTTCTCCTATACCAGAAGTGGCAATAAACCAAAGGGTATTCCGTGGCAATAGCAGCTTTCATCAGATCTGTCCAGCCTGCCATAAATCAACTGCCCTCATTCCTCATGGCCTGTTGTCTTCAGTGACTCAGAAAATGCTGTCAAAAGGCCATCCAGTGTCTCGGTGGGTGCCTATCTCACTGCATAAACATTTCTTTTGCAATAAGGAGCAAGAGTAGGACCAGCGCATCCAATGGATCCATGACTTCCATCCAGTTCTGCAAGGATAGAAATCTGGGGCCACATAATCTGGAAGTGCCATCGGCACACATGTCAAGGCGGGGAAAATTGTTTTCTGTGCTGGGGTCCAGGAAAATACTATATTCCAGTCCAACAACACACCACACATCAGTTCTTAGAGTGCCTCTGTATGTCCAAAGAACCTTGGGATATGAACCCTGAAGTGGTAGTGCTAAACTCCTGTACTTAGAGCAGCAGTATGAATGCAGATACATATTGTTGTACAACGTCCAGCACAGTAAATGTAGACTCTCAGGGCAGATTTGCCTGGCTCATGCCTGCATGAATACAATCCAGCGCTCAGGTATGCACATCAGTGTAGACATACCCTAAGGCTGAAACAACTCCTGTGGATTATGCAACTTCAGTGGTTATAGAGAGAAAGGTGGAAAGAGGGATAAGATATTGAGGCAAACAGTTTAGTGAGATTCATAAAGGATTATTCACTTAACTGAATAAACACAGAATCTGCAGATATTCTACACAGCTTAGAAAGTTATAAAATGTCAATCCTTCTTCCTCAGGGCATAAAGCAATTGCCAGACAGGATTGGTGAAGAGACACTCTCTTATGTTATAGAAAGATGTTACTGGCCAGTTGTGTTTTGGGGTCCCATTGATATAGGCAGGATATGGAAATGGATAATTGGTCTTCTCCATGCTGGAAATGGCTATGTTTATAATATTCTGGGGGGGGGGGCGGGGAACCTCTGTGAAATATCTGCATTCTTCTTACACTCCTGGTAGGGTGATGTTTAGATCAGAATTTTTTTTTAATCACTGTATTTACTTGTATTAGGAGAACCACAAGATGGCAGTAATAGAAAGAGTTCCATTCTTACTGCTGCAGAGTTCAATCAGTACATTCTAAAACACTATATATAGCTCATAAGCCTACACTAGTGAATAAAATGAATGCTACTGTTTGGGAGAGATAGGTCTTTAGGAAGAGAATCCTAGAAGCACCTAAGCCTTAGGAAAATTTGGTTTAGTTTTGGATTCGATGTAATGTCATTTTGGAATGGAGTGGGGCTTCAGAAAGAGAGATTTTCAAAGGCACAAATGACAGCTAAGTACCTAATTCCCATTTACGAAAGACACTTAGGCACCTCCCTCACCACCCAGCCACCAATATGGTCCCTCTGGGTCCTGTAATCTTGTTTTAGAACAGCTGTCAGTTCCAAAAATAAATCTTTCTAGGTGTTCTGTCCATCAGCATGGCAGCATTGTATAAGAGATTTAGGTTCAGTTCCTTGGCTCCACCACACAATTTCGTTGTGGCCACGGGCACTTAATCTCTGTGGTTCAGTTCCCCATCTGTAAGTTAGGGATAATACTTTCTTCTTCCCCATTCTTGACTATCTTGTTCATTTAGAACGTAGCACAATGGGAAACTTATCTTGGCTGGAGCCTATAGGCACTATCATGATTCAAATATAGAAAAGAAGAAGAACCACCTAGTTAGAAGTAGCAGCAGGGTACTGTTGTTGCCTCTTGCTGTTTGCAAGAACCTGAGTCTGGTGATCTTCCGGCACAGTGAAAGGTGCATTTATTAAGTCAGTCTTTTTCACTGAGCCCAAGCCAGATTGTGGCTGGCCCTGGCACAGGAGAACCCTGGAGGGAACACAAAGAGTTTCTATGCCAAAAAGATGGGGTGGGAATGAACTGAGGCCATGACCATGCCCTCCACTTCACATGCTGCATCCCCTGAAAGGGTGCACTAGCAAGAAAGCCAGCCTGTGAACCTCAGGAAGTACAGTTTTTCCCATGAACTCCTGCTGCAGCAGTGCTGCTGCATACCATGTCCAATGTAGGGCAGTGTCTAAAAGCCCTAAAGGAGGGAAGTAGGATACTTTGGCAACTGATGTAGCTATTGGGATGAACAATAATGGTTTATTAGACTGCTCAAATAATAATCCCCCCATGGGTGCTTAATATTAAATTGATGTTATATGTCCAGATGTTACATTGAAGGGTGCTGAGTAAATTTTATTTTTAATTGGACTATCCAACAATAAAAGAGAACCATCTAGCAACAATAGGTAACTTCTCATTCCTAAAATAATCTTTATTTCATAAGAAGAATATTTGATAAAGGATAGCCACAGAATCTGGCTAATTCACACTAAAGGCTGGTAGGCTCAGTTCAAATTTCTGAACGCTGCAGATTAGCAAGCAAGCAAACCAATATTATTTATGAACTAAGGATACTGCTTAAAAATGTACTCTTGTTCATTTATTTGACAGTCATTTGCTTCTAATGTGATAATGAAGGGTAGAATACTGTATTTCATTAAAATAATATTCTTCATAATATAAGACCTCATTATCACCTTAATATAAATTCTTGACTGAAAGGAATTGCCAATTTCTTGTATGGGTTATAAAGTCCAGTGAGTATATACTGTCTAGTGCAATAATATGTTCTATAAAAAATTTTTTTTCCTGAATCCAAAAATGAGAATAAAATTTTGTATCAGAGCAAATTGGAGTGTTCTATCTCTTATTTTTATTTGCTAGTGGTTGGAACAATGGGAACTACATTACCATGTCATTATGACTGATGTATGCATCAGTTCAGCATTAGAACACTGCTTTGAATTCTTGCTATTACTGTTTGTTTCACAATACTGTGAAGTAAACTGTTTGTGCTTGTTGAAGCTCCCTTTTAATTGCTTTTGCTGTAACACTAAATCCGAGTGACAGCACCACTGAGAAATGGGATGTCTGTCCAAACTTCGTCTAATCATTTCAAACAACTTCATTTTTAGAGGTCTATTTTTAGATTTTACACATAATGGAATAACTTACAATAATTTGACTAGTATGTTGTCTTTATAACACTTGACTTGTTTTTCAGTTCTTGGCTCAGTTTCAGGTTCAATTTAAAAATGTACTTTTCAAGACATCTTTTTATTTCTTGCCATCAAACATCCAGGTTTTTGAATGCATAAGCTAGGCGCTGATGATATTATACAAGTCCATTAATTATGTTACTAAGACATGAAATTAGTTTCCTGTTTCTTAAAGTTCTGAGCGCTTGGTATGATCTATGAGCACATTCCTTTAGGAAAGATGGAGAAAAATTGCTTATACTTTCATTTTCAATAGGTTAATAGCATATAATCCTACTTCCCTTGAGGCTACTTCACACAGTACAACTTAGTGGCGCCAGCACTGTCTTGTTCATGTTAATTTGAAATTTCAGAGACTACAGTTATTTCATTTACCACTTACGCCATACAGTATATCAAAATGCCTACACTAGTTAAAACAGATATTGGTATGCTTAATTTAAAAAAATATTATTATCGTATGTGAGAACCCATTTACTCTGGAGAAAAGAGGAGGAAAATATCTTGGACATCTGAATGATTTAGTTCCATTCCTACTTACAAAAATGTCTGTTTTTCCCTAATTTCCAATGATTACAGCTATGCATAATAAAAAGTGATACATTACTTAGGGTCTGCAGACTTATCATTCCCTTTAGTTCCTTCACTGTTGTGTCAAGGTTTTTCAGCTGGTTGTTGTGAAGCAACAAGATCTGCAATGCATGCAAATGTTTCAGAGCCCCTGAAATAAAATGTATTATAATAAATGATTCTCGCCATAGTTGACTACCTTGACTTGCTAATTTGTTTTGCTATGCTACACATTTAGTTTGTCATCCTAATTATCCATCCACTCCCACAACTACATACAACACTTCTCATGCTCACTATACTCATCCTCTGTTTCAGCAACTCTACTTCTTGTCTTTCCTCCTTCTCTACCTCATCCCAGAAAATCTGCATCCCTTATTTCCTCTTTTCTAGTCACAGCATTTGCATCTTCATCTCTTTCTTTCCCATCCCTGCTCCCCTACTTCTCTTTCTAACCTCGCCTCCAAAAATCTACATCCAACCTCTACTGCCTCCTCCTTCCCCTGATAACCATATCAATCTTGGATCATCTATCATCCCCATCCTATCATACCGGTTTCACCTTTCCCAATTACCACCTCTGCCTCAAAGGGTCCATATTAACCAATTTAAACTCCATTCCCTCTGGAACATTAGCTCCACCTCAGATAATGTTACATTTGAAAAAAAAAGTCACCACCAGTCACTCACTTGCCTACTCAGACTACGTCACTCCCCTCACTACGGTTGCCAGATGTCCAATTTTTGATTGGAACACCCGGTCGAAAAGGGACCCTGGTGGCTCCGGTCAGCACCACTGACCAGGCCATTAAAAGTGCGGTTGGCGCAGGGCTGGAAGGCTCCCTACCTGGCTCTGCATGGCTCCCAGAAGCGGCGATGTGTCCCTTGGCTCCTAGGCGGAGGTACAGCTAGGCAGCTCTGCGCGCTGCCCCCTTCCCGAGCACCGGCTCCACAGCTCCCATTGACTGGGAACTGCAGCCAATGGGAGCTGCGGGGATGGGGCCTGTGGGTGGAGGCAGCGCACAGAGCCACCTGGCCATGACTCTGCCTAGGAGCCGGACATGCCAGCTGCTTCTGGGGAGCCGCCTGGACCCTGCACCCCTTCCCGTACTCCAACCCCCTGCCCCAGCCTGGAACCCCCTCCTGTACCCCAAACCTCTCATCCCAGGCCCCATCCCAGAGCCCGAACCTCCAGCTGGAGCCCTCATCTCCTGCACCCCAACCCCCTGCCCCAGCCTGGAGCCCCCATCCTGCACCCTGAACCCCTTATTTCCAGCCCCACCCCTCCCACACCCCAATCCCTTTCCTCAGCCCAGAGCCCCCTCCCACACTCCGAACCCCTCGGCCCCAGCCCAGAGCCCCCTCCTGCACCCCAAACCCCTCAGACCTGGTCCCACCCCAGAGCCCACACCCCCAGCTTGAGCCCTCACTCCCTCCCACACCCTAACCCCCTGCCCCAGCCTGGATCCTCCTCCTGTACCCTGAACCCCTCATTTCTGGCCCCACGCCAGAGCCCTCACCCCCTCCCACACTCCAGCCCCCTGCCCCAGCCCAGTGAAAATGAGCAAATGAGTGAGGGTGGGAGAGAGTGAGCAACAGAGCGGGGGATGGAGTGAGCAGGAGTGGGGCCTCGTAGAAGGGGTGGGGCAGGGTGGGGCTTCAGGGAAGGGGCAGGAACAGGGCAAGGGTGTTCGGTTTCGTGTGATTAGAAAGTTGGCAACCTTACCCCTCACCCATTTTGTTTTGCCAGTGAAGACAGCCTTGCTGTTTCTTTCTCCCACATCTAGTTACCTTCTTCCATACTGCCCCCTAAGCTTGGAACAACCTCCCATTCCCTTCTTAAAGATTCACATTTCCCATAAGTCCCAAAGACACCAACCAACGTCATTTAACTTCCTTCTCCAATCTAACATTAAATAAAGAAAGAGACAAAATATTAACATGAACAATTTTTTTAAATACTAAGGGACAGATTCTGTGACAAAACTAAAATAAAAGTCCTTAAGAGATAAAGATGGAGCTTCACAAGAAGCCAGTTTTGCAGAATAACTTCACGGAGTACAATTGTACTTGAAATGTAAGTGACAATTATACTGGTAGGGAAATTGCATAGCCTTTGCAGACATATTACATATGAGACAATCTATTACTTTACAATCCTTTAGTTTCATGGTATGTCTGTCAGTCTTGCTAATCAGTTTACTATCATATACATTTACATGGTTTCCAAAGGGTACTTTTAATTAATTATGAATTGTCTGATCAGCAAATCTTGCATATTCATTTGAATAAGAGAACTTGCCACAGTAGATCAGAAATGTATTTCAACGGCATGATTTTTTCCACCAAAATGGTGTACTATGCTTCCAGAATCAATATATTTTCAGTTCACTTTTAACAAAAAATATAAATGCAGTCTTACTAAATTAGTATTGTTTATTTCAACCTACTTGTCATCAAGTGGCCTCCTCCAAGCACCCCCTTGTGGCCTCAGGGCAGCCCTGCAAGCAGCCCCTCACCTCAGTTTCCAATCTTGGTTCCTCAATAAACTCAAAAAGAGTCTTTTACAAATCTAATAACAACAGCCCTCTTCAGAGTCTGGTTTAACTTAAAATTCAAAAAATAAACACAAAAATCTTCCCTCCAGACTTAAGCTGGGCACAGCCCGCAAACTCCTCCGGTGTCGTGTCGTGCCTGGTCTTGCCTCGTCTCAGACCAGGCCACCTTCCCTCTACGTATCGCTCTGCTCCCCATTATAGGGGAGTCAGCTCCTCCATATCCAGCTGTTTCTAATTAAATCCCATACATCATCCCAGGTGTGGCAGGGAGGACTAATTGTATGGGGTTGGCCTGCTCCATGCCTCTGGCCCTTACAGGGCAAGACACACCACTACACTACTGTTTACATTTTAAAATAGCCAATTAATAACAACAGTTACAGAGTAAGGGGCAAATTTATCCCTGACTGAAGTAGATGCAATGAAGCTGCACCCATTTACATCATGGTTGAATCTGAGCCTAAATATCACTATATAACCACTCAAGTGTAGTGTAATAAATCATGTTCCTAAAACATCATTTTTGTGTACAGACGCTCCCCGACTTACACAAATTTGCACTTACGGAAAAAGTTCCATAAGCCAGAAATAGGATTTTCGAGTTAAGGAAATTTTTGCATAACGTACAGGTATACGTTTCCGACTTACGCAAAATTCGAGTTACGCAAGGCTTTCCAGAACAGAACGATTGCGTAAGTCGGGGGGGGGTCTGTATGCTGTTATAAACTGGGAGATGTTATTTTCAGCTACTAGCAGACAGTCACTGACTACAGACCACCTAAATCAAACTCACTTAGCTTGCTGATACACAGAAAAAAACTTCACATTTTTGCTCTAAAGTTTAAAATGTAAGACAATACCTGCTATATCTGTGAGCTCATTATTGTTGAGGTAGAGTTCTGTCAAGCGATAATTATTGATCAAGAATGTTAGCTTCTGGATCTGAAATATGAGAATCAGGGAAACAGGTACCTGTCAGTCTAATTTTAATTTTGGAGAACTATATATTAATATATTGTATATTTTTAAAGAAGTATTTGTTCTTGTTTCAGTGAAAATAGTCCCATTTTAAGACTTCTTTGAGAGCTGAAAAATTGTTGATAATATTCATTATGTGTGATAAATACATATAGAATAACCTTATAGAAAATCCTTATAGAACCTTTTGACTCATTGATTTAGATTTTGTATTTTGGAACACATTTTCACTGAAAATTACTGGGCTTTCCTAGCTATTGGGAATTTTTATTAAGTTGAAATATTCTTATTGTGAGAAGAATCTCCTCTCATAATACATAACATTTCTGTGTTGTATTAAGAATATTCTCAAAGGTAATATCCTTAGAATAAACTCAACATCCAAATTAAAAATTACACCAGCACCAGCTGATCTGAGGGAGCATGTATTTGTTCTCAGTTTCCTGAAAACATTCAAAGTTTAGTTAGGCTCCAAACCCACACAGATTATAATTATAGTGAAACCTGTATGTATAGCAACCTCGAGAGTCAACTGTGTTATCCTCTGATGAAATCTCAGTCTATGAGATTTCTTATTTTTTCCATATAAGTAGGGGTCTACTTAAATCACAGAGAAATCACACATTTTTTGCAGGTTGGTCACAGTATAAATGCCAAATTTGCTACTTATGCTGTAACCAACTCATGAAAAATGTATGATTTCTCCACAGCATTTCTCAAACTAGGGGTGTCACGGTATTGCCATCCTTACTTCTGCACTGCCTTCAGAGCTGGGCAGCCAGAGACCGGTGGCTGCTGGCCACCCAGCTCTGAAGGCAGAGTGGAGAGTGGTGGCTGCTGGCTGGGTGCCCAGCTCTGAAGGCAGCACCATTGCCAGCAGCAGTGCAGAACTAAGAGTAGCATGGTATGGTATTGCCACCCTTATTTCTCGGCTGCTGTTGGCAGTAGCACCCCTACTTGTCAAGTGTTGAGAATAGCCCACTTCCACCTTAATTGAATTGGCTCATTAGCACCGACCCCCCACTTGGTAAGGCAACTCCCATCTTTTCATGTGCTGTGTATTTACAGCTGCCTCTGTATTTTCCACTCCATGCATCTGATGAAGTGGGTTTTTGCCCATGAAAGCTTATGCCCAAATAAATGTGTTAGTCTCTAAAGTGCCACAAGAACGCCTCGTTGTTTTTAGTTTAGTCTTTGTTACTGTTTAGGTTTGAAGATGGGGAATATGGATAAATGGGTCTGATTTTTGTCTTGTTGATCAGTAGGTTAAATTTTGCTTGGTCATCAAGAAGCCCTATCTTCTCACACTTCGTGTCCTTCAGAAATGTGCAGCAATGCCATGAACTAGTTCAGCTCATTTATGTCTCCATAATTTAAAGTTTTTAAACATTTGAATAACTACAAGTCTTTCAACAGAGTTGACATGAGATGCTTTATAATTAATATTGGCTTGAGGCAGCAGAAATCCACACACTCCTAAGTTATGTGGAATGTATACTAATTTTTCTGTTCTTCACAAAACTGCATACTTATCTTAGCAAGTACTGCTGCACACGGAGTCCTCAGATACTGAGCACGTTAAGAAATCATGTGAACTACAGAACAGTAACTTATAAAAAAGTTTTAAATGTTTTAAACTACTTTGTGTTATCAATTTTTCAGTACAAATTGATAGTTGTTTTCATTTTGTTAAAGATCAGTGAATAAATGTGCAGATTTGCATTTGATAAGAGCAGGGAAGGGCATGAGCTGGTTTTGTTGCCAATTAGCTGATTTTTGAAATATTTTGGTTTTGGGTGTTATATTTTGCATTTATATCAGACCTTCCATCTGAGGGTCCTGAGTACTTTACAAAATTGCCTCAAAGCCCATATGGGATACACTAAGTAGTATAATCTTCACTATACCATCCCTAGGACACTGAGTGTAAGGCATATATCCACAAAAGTAGTTAAGCACCTAAACCTTAGACTTAGGTGCCTAAAGCTAGGGTTTAGGTGACTAAAACCCAGTTTTGCCTCCACTTCAAGCCATAAAGCTCCCACTGTACACTGTAGGTGCCTAAACTCACCTAGTGCCTACATTTTCAGGGTAAAAGTTCCCTAGTTTCAGAAATTTCTGCCTCTGGGCACACTCACTGCTTCCTCCCTCTAGGCATCCAGATGCCTGTCTTCCATCTAAGCCCCAGAGTAATTCATGAACCAGGGAAATAAAGGCATTCAGGGAAAGACAGACTTAAGTCACATGCAGGGCATGATCTGGTAGGTGGCCTCTGAGCACACCTACTGGAGCAGGTCTCATTGAAAATCCAGGAGGAGGACGTGGTGGTGGTGGTAACAACCACCTTATAGCTTTTAGCCCAGCGGTTAGAAGTCACCTGGGATGTGGGAGACCCAGCTTCAATTCCACCCAGCCTCTGTCAGAGGAGGAGAAAGGATTTGAACATGGGTCTCTCTATGGTCCAATGCATTTTTAAGTATGTATCCACAGTGGAACTGTCACTGGGCCAGAGAGAGAAAGAATGACAGTAATCCAGTGGTTAGGGCACCAAGATAGGAGACCCAGGCTCCAGGCCCGCTACTCCAATCACCCTTTAATTATTTATCCAGAGGGAAACAGCTTCAATCGGAGAGACTGAGGAAGCCCCACATCAGAATGTCCCATAGCACAGTGATTAGAGCACTCTCCTGAGAGGCAGGGGACCCCTGTTCAAATCCTTTCTCCCACTCGGGGGAGGGGAAAAATTGAACCTTGGTCTCCTACATCCCAGCTAACTACAAGCTTGGTCTCCTACATCCCTAAGTCAGCTTTATGGATCACAGCATTGTTCCTGTGATTTTTCTAGGCATGTAAAAGTTAGGTACCATGATGCTCGATGTCGCAACACCTAAGTCCCTTCATGGATGCCACCTTAGGTGACTTACTTAGGGTCACACAGTGAGTCAATGAGCTGGGAACAAAACACAGGTAAACTTACAGTAACTGAGGGTCTAACTCCTAGTCTTTTGTTCTTACAAGTAACTGACTTAGGGAGAGATTGTGGCCTGTCCAGCACACTGGCGCAAGGTACCTCCTTATTTCCTTATACCACCACTTTCTGCGCACATGGGGAAGCAGACTCCAAAGAGCTGCTAGATCTCCCCTTTGTAGAGATAGATAGGAGGGTGAGATGGGCAGAATCTCAACTCTACTGCTGTCTTCAAAGTGTCTACCAGGATAGTTACCCTGGTTTGTTGGAGAGCATATACTGGGGCAGGTATAGACCTGTTACAGTTTACTCCCTCCCTGAAACAGCAGGGAGATTGACAGTGAAACTGTGCCTCAGAGTCATAATAAATTTCCCTCTGAGGGTGCTCTAGGAGTAGCAAAACAATTTACTGCTTTCTGGTAAGGTCAGAAACTGACAATCTTAGGTATATTAGCAAACACATTTTTCAATACCTTAATTCCGGAAGGTCTTTGATTTGGAAAATAGATCAGATCTTTCTAAAATCTCTCTATTTTTATAACTCTGGTAGAGATACTTAATCCTTTCGATGAACTAAATATGAATATAATTCATTATTATTTTAAAGGGAAAAATGTCAACTTATACTCTACTATGTATATCAAAACAGGTTTCTTAAAAATATCACATTTAAATTAATTGATTCATATTTTTGTAAAGAAATGAGAAATAATCTTTTAAAAAAACAACTATATCTACCAATTTTGTAATTTTTAAATGTTTTGTAATAGCAAAAGTATTAGGTAGTAATAAAAAATTATTTTAGGTACCAGTATTCATATTTTAATAAAATGTCTTATTACCTTATTGTTGTTAAGCCACAAATACCTTAAGGTCTGAAATCGTGACAGATTAGGGACTTCTTTTAGTCCCCTGAGAAGAAAAAAAAAGTTGTCCAACTTCAATATTTCATAATTACTCTGTAAATATAATTTAATCTTCAGTGAAATTATACTATACAAACATTATAAAGCAACAATTTTACAGAGCCTTTAATAGAAAATGACATACAGAATAATATGACTGTGTTAGTGTAGTTATGATCAGTGCTTGGGAGTGCAAGCAACCAAAGTAGTAGAAGTAGTAAAGAAAACTCTTTTGTAAAGAAAATAAAATCTTAATTTTCTCAAAATTGAATTCAGTTTCTCTGAAGAAAAAAGTCATTTAAAAAAATTATTATTAAAGCAGGAGTCCCAGCTGCTTTGCATTTCAAAGAAATACTGCTTATAACACATGAGGAGAATTCTTACATTTGGGAGGACACGAAGCCAATGGGAAAATTATTACTGAAGGTGTGGCCTGGAGCTACCAGACATGGCTCTAAAGAGGAAAAGATGGAAAACTGAAACCCAACAAATGGATGGACATATTTCTGAGCAGACCTGATATTTCTAGTGTTAAACATTACTTCTTTAAATCAAATTCTCATTAAGAATTGGTGTTGTACTCAATATATGTCATGTAATTACCTGGGCTATGTAAACACAGGAGAAGGTTACTCACTCTGTGCAGTAACTGAGGTTCTTTGAGATGTGTCCCCCTATGGGTGCTCCACTTGTAGGTGCAGCAGTGCCCCCTGCACCTGGGATTGGAGATCTTCATCAGCAGCGCCTGTCGGACCGCACATGCGCATATTCCAAATCACACTGTGAGAGGGGCGTATATATATCGCTGTGTAGTCTGACCACCCCCCGTTTCTTCCCTGCCGCAGAGCATATGTTTTTGACTGCAAAGCAGAAGGGAGGAGGCTGGGAAGTCGAGCACCAATAGGGACACACATCTCGAAGAACCTCAGTTACTGCACAGGGTGAATAACCTTCTCTTCTTCTTTGAGTGATGTCCCTATGGGTGCACCACTTGTAAGCGACTAGAAAGTAGTGCCCCTAATTGGAAGGCTGGGTCTTTGGAGTGACATTTACTGTTGATGATAGGACAGCATGTCCTAGGTCCAGGAGAGTGTCTGCTGCGGCATCGTGCGTAATAGCATAGTAATGGGCAAAAGTGTCTGTTGATGTCTATGTAGCCACTTTGCAAATTTCAGCAATGGGGGCATTGTTGAGAAAAGTTATCGAGGTAGATAATGAACATGTGGAATGTGTTCTGATTGTGGTAGGAGGTTGTTTATTGTGGAGTTTGTAAGATAAATGTATAGACTGTGAGATCCACCTTGAAAGGCGTTGTTTAGGTATGGCTGTGTCTCTGGATCTTTCGATGGTGGAGAGGAATAATCGTGGTGGTTTTCGGAAAGGTTTAGTCCTGTCCAAGTAAAAAGATAATGTTAGTCTCATGTCTAGGGTGTGTAGAGCTGCCTCCTGTTGATTACTGTGAGGCTTCGGGAAGAAACAAGGAAGGTGTATTGGTTGGTTGAGAGGGAAAGACGTTGGAACCTTAGGTAGAAATCTTGGATGTGGGCGCAATGTAACTTTGTCCTTATAGAACAGTCTGTATGGTGGATATGCCATAAGGGCCATGATTTCGCCAACTCATTGGGCAGAAATGATGGCAACAAGGAAGGCCATTTTCATGGACAGATGCACATAATAACAGGTTTTCATTGATTCAAACAGGGGTCTAGTCAGAGAACGTAGGATGAGGACGAGGTCCCAGGCAAGGGTTGGGTCTCTTATGTGTGGATAAGGATTGTAGAGACCCTTCAGAAAACGTTTCCTAAGTGGATGTGTAAAAACAGAATGACCATCAATGGGGCAGTGAAAAGTAGTGACTGCTGCCAAGTGTACCCGAATGGAGCTGGTGGATAATCCTGATTCTTTAAGGTGTAGCATGTAGTCCAGGATAAGCGTGTGCTACGTCGACTTGGTGGGAGGCGCACCAGCATTGAAATCTAGTCCATTTATGAACCTAAGTGTGTCTAGTTGTGCCACATCTGCTATTCAAAAGTATCTGTTTGACTGCATCCAAACAGGTTATTTCTGAATCCCAGAACCATGGAGGAGCCAGGCTTTGAGGTGCAGCATCTGTGGATTGGGATGGAGAATGCATCCCATGTCCTGTGACAGGAGCCACGGTGTTAGATGGAGAGAGATTAGTTGGCATACCGTCATGTGGAGTAGGTAAGTTGTGGCCATGTTGGAGCTATTAGTATGACATGAGCTTGATCCTCCTGTATCTTACTAAGTATTTGGAATAGGAGGGACCAGGGAGGGAAGGCATAAAGGAAAGGCATCTCATGTTCTGAGGAACATCTCCAAGAGATCCATGTCCTAGTCCCACTCTGGAACAGAATTGAGGGCAGCAGGTGTTGTGCTATGTGGCAAAAAGATCTATGGTGGGGAATCCTCATCGGTTGGGGTTGGGGAATCAAGATGCACTGAAGTGCTCACATATCCAGTTCCCACTCCTGATCGTGGGAGAACCTCCTGCTCAATACGTTCACGGTGGTGTTCTGTCATCCCGGAAGGTATGCTACTGAAATGATCATGTTGTGTTGGATACACCAGTTCCACAATTTGAGTGCCTCTCACCATAAAGAGTGGAACCTCACTCCACCCTGCCTATTGATGTAACACATGCAGGCGAGATTGTCCATCATGACTCTGATGGTCTGAGTGGAGGGAGGAAATGTCAGCAGGCACTGCAGACTGCTCGTAGTTCTAGGAGATTAATGTGTGGGGTGGGTTCGGTTAACTACCATCTGCCCTGCACTGTGTGATCATGGAGATGCACTCCCCAACTGATTTGGGAGGCATCAGTTGTTAGGATCGTGGTCAGTTGTGGTTGGAGGAAAGGAACTCCAACATAGGCATTGTTAGGCTGTCTCCACCAAAGTAGTGAGTCCTTGACTCTCATTGGCATGGATAAAAGTTTGTGGAGGCTGTGTTTGTGGGGGAGATATAGTGTACGCAGCCATGCCTGAAGACATTGTATATGTAGTCTTGTGTGACTGACCATGAAAGTGGCTGCTGCCATGTGGCCTAGAAGTTGGAGGTACATTCTGGCAGAGATCTGGGGGCAAATTTGTGCATTGGATACCATACACAAGAATCTGTGAGGTAGTAGGAAGGTTCTGGCTTGTATGGCATCCAACCGTGTCCCGATTAATTCCAGTTGTTGTATTGCATTAAAGTGGACTTTTCTAGGTTCAAAAGGAAACTCAGCTTTGTGAACAGGTCCATTGTTATGTGAACGGCTCAGAGAATGTGGTTTCAGATGGGGCGTTGAGAAGACAGTCATCCAAGTATGGAAAGATGACAGCTCCTTGTTTTCTTAGGTAGACACTGACTACTACAAGAATCTTGGAGAACACCTGCGGTGCTGTGGACAGTACGAAAGGCAGTACCTTGTACTGGTAGTGGTCATTGCCCACGACAAATCAGAGAAATCGCCTGTGGGCAGTGTGTATTGTAATATGAAAGCATGCGTGTTGGAGGTCGAGGGCTGAGAACCAGTGCCCCTGTTCCATTATTGCAATAATAGTTGAGAGGGTAGCCATCTTGAAGCATGCAGTTTGACTAACTTGTTTAGATTGCGGAGGTCCAGAATGGGTTGCCAGCCATCAGATTTCTTCCAGATCAGGAAATAGTGCAAGTAGAAACCCTGTCCCATGTGCTGGGAAGGAACTGGTTCCATGGCTCCCCATTGCAGAAGATGATTTATTTCTCCCTGTAGAATGGAATTGTGAGAGGAGTCCCTGAAAAGGGATGGGGAGAGGAGGTGGTGGGGCAGGATAGTTAAGAAGGGGATGGAGTATCCTTCCTGGATTATCTCTATAACCTACTTGTCCAAAGTGATGAGTCTCCAAGATGGGGAAAATTGAGCTAGTCAGTCACCAAACTGGTGGAATGTCAAAGATGGTGGGAATGACTGGAAGAGGGGGAGGCTTCTTGGGGCCTCCACCAGACCTTCAAAATTGTTGTTTCGGTGGGGAGTGCCTGAGAGGTAGCCCCTTGAGGAGTGGGCTGTCTATGTTTGATAGGAGGCCTTTGTCTTCGGCGCTGGGTGTCATAATGCTGTTGAGGATTGTACTTCTGTGATTGGGAGTGTCTCTTTGGTGCTGGCATGTAAATTCTGAGAGAGCAGAGTGTAGCTTGGGAGTCTTTAAGGGAGTGCAGAGAATCGTCCATGCATTCTGAGAATAGCTTCTGGCCCTCAAAAACTAAGTCTTCTACTGTGGTTTATACCTCCACAGGAAAACCTGAGAGGTGGAGCCATGATGCACACCTCATGACCACAGCAGTCACGAAGGATCAGGCAGTGGTGTCTGCATATTCTAAAGAGGCTTGTAGGGTTGTACAGGTTAGGAGGTGTCCTTCCAATATTAGGGACTGGAATTGCTCTTACTTGGCCTCCAGTAGGTCATAGAATCATAGAAGATTAAGATTGGAAGAGACCTCAGGAGGTCATCTAATCCAACCTCCCATTCAAAGCAGGACCAACACCAACTAAATCATTCCAGCCAGGGCTTTGTCAAGCTGGGCCTGAAAAACCTCTAAGGATAGTGATTCCACCACCTCCTTAGGTAACCCATTCCAGTGCTTCATCACCCTCCTAGTGAAATAGTGTTTCCTAATATCCAACCTACACCTCCCCTACTGCAACTTGAGACCACTTGTTCTGTCATCTGCCACCACTGAGAACAGCCCAGTTCCATCCCCTTTGGGTAGTTGAAGGCTGCTATCAAATCCCCCCTCACTTTTCTCTTCTGCAGACTAAACAAGGCCAGTTCCCTCAGCATCTCCTCGTAAGTCATGTACCCCAGCCCCCTGATCATTTTTGTTGCCCTCCACTGGACTCTCTCCAATTTGTCCACATCCTTTCTGTAGTGGGGGGCCCAAAACTGGATGCAATACTCCAGATGTGGTCTCACCAGTGCCAAATAGAGGGGAACAATCACTTCCCTTGATCTGCTGGCAATG